CTTTGTGTTGCCAAGCAACAGCCAAGAAACCTTAAAGATTTAGAGAAGATCTGTAAAGAGTGGACCAAAATCCCTCCTGAGATGTGTGCGAACTTGTTAACCAACTACAAGAAACGTCTTACCTCAGTACTTGGTGGAGAAACTCTTGTTGGCAAGCACAAAGCCATGTTTTGCTTGAGGATCAAATACTTATTTTACTCACTGAACTGCAACTCAATTTATAACATTTGTATCATGTGTTTTTGTTCTGTATTTTTGTTTGATATTCTGTCTCCATCATTTAAACTACACCTATGATAAAAATTATAGACCTTTCATTTCTTTTGTAAGTGGGCAAACCGACAATTTGATTTGTATTGCAAAAAAAAATTATTCATGGATCTTTAGGTAAATACACAAATCTGTGTGTGTGGTTTGCAATCTTGTACTGCAGTGGTAATAATTGATATGATGTGCAGATTAGAAATTGGATTGCCAATTAGAATGATGGATTTGTGATTTTTATAAAGCATGAGAAAATAAAGCTGTTTTTGTTTCCACTTGGTTATTAGTAACAGAATATTATATAACTACATTTTAGGACTGTCAAAGTTCTTTGTGCATTGTTTTAGAACTTATAAATGTTATGGTACTTATACTCGCACTACATGTTGTCGTCAAATTTTAATTTCCTATTAAAGAGACAGTCCAACCTGAACTGATATTTTCCTTTTTGTTGGATGCCAGCAGTTTGAGTTAATCAGATTTTTATTCATGTGTAAATAAATAATGTCTGGCAACAAGATATTTGCACTTAAAACCAGGTGTGGACAAGTAAAATCTGGAATTCCAGAGACAAGTCTGTCCTATCTAGGAGTAGTCAGGATTTTTTTTAAGCGCCAGCTCCATTGACAACTAGAGAACACTTTAAAAGTTGGGTTCCAGCTGTAAATTTTAAGGAGCAGTGGCTACCTGGATCCTGGGATTTGTCCAACCCTGACTTAAACTTCCAGCTTCATCCATGGAGCAATGTAGAATGTATTGCTGATGTCGGCCATTTAAAAAAAATATCTACAAATATCCAGGTGCAAAGGATTATGAATGGATGCTGGAGCAATGTATTCAGACTCCATGCAGCTTTCTCCTCTAGAGTAAAAATAAATAAATTAAAATGGTTCTGAAAACGATGCTATTAATAAGAGCTGGAGAAATTTAAAATGTACTAGTCATTTCTTCATTACACCAAGCTGGGATGTAGTTTCATATGACGGGTGCGATACCATCACACACAGGCGTTGTAAACATGAATCTGAAGTGAGCCACATTGACTGAGCATTTATAAAACATTCGAGGGCTTCAAGAAAACGGTTCAACCTTCCCTAAATCACCCCTCTGCCCCTATCTGTTAATCTTCGGCCCCATTCACACCTTCAAATGGGGGCAATTGCATGAGTTATACAAATTCCTCCATGCGTCTCCTTCGATCTCCTGCAGACTGGGGGCACTGTATAATGAAATGACAGCTGCCACCAACTACATCTGTTCACAGGTAATCACACAGCCTGCAATTTGTTGTGGATGACTGGACCTTGACACAGACTGTCTGCATCCAGGTGCAGGTGGGAATGGGACCTATACGCAAACACGTTCAGTCCTATGACCTACCCAATAAATACACCAGATTGTGCTGGAAAATTGTACACACAGCCTTCCTCTCACTAGTTGTCCAGCCCTGCTCCTTAGCTTCACAGGAAACAATCTTTGACAAAACTAGGCATCCCCTGATCCATCTGGTCCAGCTATTTTGCTGATGTTTGCACTACACTGTGCAGCATTTTGAACTAAAAGAACCAGCTGTTCATCCATGCACCCCTTTAACACAGTCATGTTTTCTGAACAACTACCTTTTTTCCTACATTGCTCTTATATGCATACATAACTTTAACTCCTTTGTGTTGGATTATGTATGAATTTCAAAGGTGCAAAAAGGAAGAAAAAAAAAGGACTGATGGTAACGGAACATGCAGTGTTATGAAGTATTCCATGTGAAGCTGGAAACCCGCTGAACAAGTAATATTTTTTGTACAACCTGCCATTTTTGGCTTTTGTTATTAATGGAGCCAACCCGCCGTGGATCTGTTGGGTTTTTGTTTTTTACACTACATGTTCGCTTCAATGGGATCGCCAACTGTAGCTTTGTCTAATCATTTATCCGGCTGCAACAGGAACTAAGTACCTGCCAAAGCCTCCAAAGTGCTTGTGTAAAGCTACAGCAATGGACTCCAAGATGGCAGTGTAGGGGGCTTGAAGAAAACAAAATCCCAAATGCTTGCTGCGTCTTCCTCAGACTAGTGTTTTCAGGTTTCGGTTAAAGGATTGTCTAAGGAAACGGTCCCAACAATTTAGCTGGGCTACTCTCTACAAAATCTTGTAGAGCAAGAAGAATGATAACATGGATTTGTTGGAAAAAGTAGGTGTGCACTAGGGTTCACTGCCAGTTTTAAAATCATTTTGGTTTACATTTATGTTTGGGAATGTTAATTGAATCTTTGTGAGACAGCTTGGAAGGTTAGTGGCCCTTTTAGAAATCACTCTGTCAGAGAATAGCAGTAGGTTTCGCTCTGCTTTCAAAGGTTTAACTTGTCTGCATGTTTTTTGCACAGATTTAGACAGAGGTGATCATTGTACTTACATACTTGGAGGTGCAAAATCTGTTTCTAGAGCCAAGCCAGCCGGTCATTAGCTTACTTTAAACTTTGCATTACAAGTTCAGTGAAAAACATGCCTGATTCCTTTCTGTTGTGCATCTGTTACAGCTAAATGTATAATGGTGAATGATCCTAATGCTGTGCACACACCTTACAACCATCGCAAGACTTTTGTCTTGCGATGGTTGTAAGGTAATTAAAAAAAGTACGATCTGCCCATCTTGGATAGGCAGATCGTACTTGCGATGATCGCAAGGGGCGGGCTTCTGATGACCGCAATGCTGAACGGGCAGTGTGTGCTTGCGCACATCGGCCCGTGCGGCATTCATCTTACGAGCATGCCACACACCCGCCTACAATCGTACGATTCTCGGCGGGTTTTCGAACATGTTCCTAAGATAAGCCGTGCGACCTTACAGTAGCAGAGGTCGCACGCCTTCCACACACCTTGCGATAATCGTGTGATTTCCCGCGATTATCGTACGATTAGAGCAAGGTGTGTGGGCACCTTTTAAAGTAGATGTGCACCCAATCATTAAAATCTCATACTTGTTTTACCATGTTAATGTGGTTTCAAAAGTTATTTTCAATATTTTTAAATTTGTACCCATCATTAAAATAATGCCTGGTGATCCTACCTTTCAGGTCCTTGATCAGGCATGTCCTGTTATAGGGTGACAACATCTGCCCCCGTGCTTCTACATTGTTACCTTGCCACATAGGATTCTGATCAGGGAAAACAAATGGCCGTTTGAAAACACTTTAAGCAGGCACGATCTACTTTATTCGCCATCAGAAAATCTACTTTGAGAAATGCCATACAGTCATTTCTGGAGTGCATGTAGACTGTCGCAGGACTAGACAGCGCTGCAGGTACAGAGTGACCTTGGCCTTCAGCCTTTCATAGTCACTGAAAGTTTGGGTCCTTCTGTGCCACTGCCTAGTGAGTGACTCATTCAGGGTCAAGGAGGATGTAAGCATCAAAAATGTGTACGTTCATTTAAGGTTGTGTGAGTTGAGATGCACTGTGTACTATTTTACACACAATTTACCAGTAAGCTACGGTGTGAATCCAAGTGTCCGTGTTTCCCCCACCACAAGTGCATTCTACTAGATCTAATGCTTGACTTCAGACCCAATGCATAGATCTGCACTGTGTGCCCCCTCACAGATTCAAACAGCCTATTCTTTGAAAATGCTAGTTTGTATTGTGCCATGTCCCCATTCATTCCTATGGCAGACCCTCACTCCAAGCAACCACTTCAAGCCAACACGAGTATGACTTTCCTATAGATATAGATGGGCTATGGCAATCATGCGCACTACAAAAGTACAAAGAGGCCATTTTCTGGGAAAAGGGCTTTGCAGTTGTGAGCGGGCCTGCACAGTGAAGATCAGTAGATCAAGACTGAAGTTAAGCATAATACCTAGTGGGCAGCACTCGGGGGTGAAGGACAGCTTATTATTGGACAACTATACAAAGGTAAAGTTGTACATAAAGGTTGTAAGCCTATCATGACTGAAATGTACGGGTTGCCATTGCTGACCTTTCTGAAAATGTTAGATGCCTGGCTGTTGAGTTTAACCTTTTGCCCCTAGTAATTTGTGACTCAGATCAGAGAAATCAGATAAAAGTCAGAAGTCCTTATTTGCGTCCTAGTTCTGATTGACTCAGAATTGTAAAGAAAGGCAACAAAACACGTCATTTTCTGATGCAAAAATCAGCAGCGGCATCCTCAATGTTTCCCTTGTGACAGATTTACTTTGAAGCGTGAGTAACTCTGAAGGCATAGCTGCGTAGTAGGCACCACGTCGTGCCAGAGCTTACATTGCAGGGTTAAATAAATCCCTTTCAAAGTGCAGCTGGAGGCTGTTAAAGATCCTTGGTAAATACTGACTTTGTGAAAAGTTTTTTTGTGGTCTAGGCATACCATCCCAGGGACATTGCTCAGCCCTGGCAATTGGTTGCTCCCAAGTACTCTAACCTAGGGGCATAACCAATACCCCCCCCCCAATACTTTTGTAGGTAATTATCCTGTAGGAAACCTTGACAGGGCTTTGAAGAGGTTTACTTTTGCAGGTACACTCTGAACCATGATGGCGCTTTCTATACAGCTGACTGTAGATGGTACATTTACTGACAGTAATGTGTTTGAAACCGATAACATATCCAGGTCAGCAGATTTTCATTTACCTTAATGGTACAGTGTGGATTATAATTCTGAGGCTGTTTTTTGACATGTTTAAAAGAAGAAGAAAAAGTCTGTTAAATAACTCTAGTTGACCGTGTATGTTTGTTTGCTTTTCCTATAGGTGGCCTTTCAGAGGGTACTCGCCCAGTAGTACAGGAGCAGGCCACCAATTTGGGGCTTTCCATGTTCTCACTTTTGGTGACCAGATGCATTCAGTTGCTGAAAAAGCACAGAACAGAACAATACAGCTCCATGGCAAAAGAAGGTAAGATACCTCTTTTTATATGTGTAGAGTTTTCCAGGTATTTAATGACATGGTAACCAGTTATTGTTTTTCTATTCAGCCGGTGTAACGGAGAATGATGTAGAAGTAAAAGTCTCTTCTTTACCACCTGATCTAAAAGAGCTTCTGCCCAGTGTGAAGGTATGGTCAGACTGGATGTTGGGTCACCCCGATACTTGGAATCCACCTCCCAGTCCAATGACAAACTGCAAGGAGTAAGTGTCTTTTTTTTTATTTCTAAAACCCTATTTTAGGGCTTGCAGAATATACAACATAAAGGAGAATTACCTTTTAGTATTAGGTTAAAAGTAAATGTGTAATTTGATGTACATTGAGCTTGCCCTATTATGACGTAAGAAAAACTTTGCCTTGGGCAGTGCCATGTTAATAAGTGGATTTTAAGGTCTTTTTTGTTGGCAAGTAGGTCATACAGCAGATTCGTCTACTGCCGTTGTCAATGCGCGTGTTCACAAAGTGTGAATGGGGAATAAAGAGGGATAATTTAACAGAATCTGCCTATTCGCTTCATATACTGCACACATATGCTGCAGCCCTTGTACTCGCAATATACTTCTAATTACTGTGCTACAAGCGACATTCTCACAGACAGAAATAAACCTCAGCACAAATGTTTGTATTTTGCTTGTATTGCATATGTTTTTCTGCCTGGCTGCTCCAATATAGGGGTTGTCCCATTTTTTAATATGCTCATATGACCCATATGTAATACCCTCTACTGCAAAGATCCAAGTTTGTCATCTGTCAAATCTGAAGCAATAGGGAAGCACACCTTGAATTAACTATCAGTATGGATTATTTGAGAACACTGTGAAATACACATTTATTGATGGTTGGATTCCTTTGACATATTGAAAAGAACATTATGAGGAAAGTATATGAGTGCATGATGGGGGGAACACATATGAGGGTGTTTTAAGAATCATCATGGCCTTTAATAGTTGTGTGCTCTAAGGGTTATTGTATGAACATGGAATAAAAGTGTTTTAAAATTATATACACAGTAAACTCCCCATTATCCAGCATCCACAGGGATTGGTAGATTCCGCATAAATTTAGTTTCTGGTTGCTTGAGTTACTATTAAAATAGGCCTAACTAATGCCATACCCTAAAGACTCATCTCTTCAAGGAAGCCTATCCCACCTCGACCTAACCACTGAACCATCACATTCTCAAATAATTAATCCCCACACAGCTACCTCCTCATGTATCATTTCCCCCTCCTTTTTAGATTGTAAGCCCTCAGGGGCAGGGCCCTCCTTACCATATTGTCTTGAATTGTATTGTAATTGTAATGTCTTCCTTATATTGTAAAGCGCTGCACAAACTGTTGGCGCTATATAAATACTATGTAATAATAATAATAATACCCCATACTATACCATACCATAGACTCCGTATTGACTACATGTTAATAGTGAAATGCAGTAATCAAAAGCAAATTAAGACAAATGGGCACACAATTGTTTCCAGGATAATACATGCTGCAGATCAGCAGAACCGTGAGTACACAGGGGATTTTTTTTTCTGGTTTCGTTTAATACGGTACCAGATAACACAGTTTACTGTATTATGTATAGTGGCTACATCCCTATAGTAATGAAATATATTGTTTAAAGATGGTGTACATTTGTTGAGTCACTTAGGTGAGAATTAGGGATTGTATACACTGGGGACTCCAGACGTACTTTTGAGAGGGGGTTTGGAAGTCTTTTTTCTTTGTGGGGATTTTTGTTATGTCTGTCATGTTAAAGGAAAGGTGCCAAGGTCAGAAAAAAAAAATGGGCAGGGGGCATTGTTGTCTGGTCCTGTTGCTAAGGGTAAAATATTCTGAGAGTGACCTCATTTGCCCTAATTGCCATTGCTGGCGTAGAGTAAAGAGCATCTGTACAGTTTTGGGCATTCAATCACAGACCTATGTTGTCAAAAGTCCGTTTTAAGAAGAGCAAGTCTACTCTATCAAATACCTTCTCCACATTGAGGGAAGGCACATAGGGAGTTTGTTTTGGTGTGCCAGGTAGTGTTTAAGACTCTGGTCATATTGTCCTTGGCTTCTCATTGGGGGGTGAACCATCCTGAGGTGCATGGGTGAGAAAAGACATAGGTGGTAGTAGTCAGATGGCGAGGATTATTGTAAAAAAAATCTTAAACTTTACGTGTTTAGCAGTGGTTTTATCCTGTAATTTGCCTGTACTTGTGTTTAAAGGAGAACTATGGGGTTAAGGCTTTTCCCCATAGTTCTCCTTAGGGTAACGGGAGGACACAAGCTAGCAGCCTCCCGTCACCCTAAGCTCAGTATACCGCGAGCTACAGCTCGAGACACCACAGTATACCGCGAGCTACTGCTCGCGGTATACTGAGACGCTGAAGCGGATCCTGACAATTATGTCTGGATCCGCCCAGCTGCGTGAGTGACAGCTGGCTCTGCCTACCTAGAGGCAGAGCCAGCTGTACCCGCCCCTTCCCCATCCGATCCGCCAGTCAGCGCTGGCGGATCGGGGAGGGGGGAATCCAGCCCCTCCCCTGTCACGGCAGAGAGCTGTGACAGGATCGAGAGGTGAGCGAACGCCGTTATGTGTTCGCTCACTTCTCGATCTACTGAGCCGACCTGTGACAGTCTCATTGTCAGAGGTGGGCTAGAACTATGAGGTGAGTGAAAAGCACTCACCTCATAGTTCTTTTAAATATTTTACCTCTTTCCGTATAACCAAGTTTTGGCCCCTTCAATGTATCCAGATGAAGATTATGGTAAAAAAAAGGATAGAATTAAATGCTATGGTAAGTAAGTGTAGAGTATGGCGTTTCGTTATGTCACTCCCTGGCAGGTGATGTGGACTCATCTGAGGTCCCAAGAATCATGGTCAGAAAAGGTTTTTGAGGAGTTCCCTGCCCAATCCATCCCTAAGGCGCCCCTCCTGCATAAGAGTTATTTCATTTTTAGTACGTTGCTTTTGGAATAGGGTCACCTAATTATATCTTTAGAGTGATTGAGGCACAGTGAGATATAGTTCACAGTTCAATCGTTACAGCGCTGGGCATCCCTAGGCACATTGTGGGATGAAAAAATTCATGATACGTGAGTATGACTGATTGATTGACATCAGAGTTTTTAAAAAAAAAAGTGAAATCTTGTAAGTCATTGTCATGTCATTGACTGATTCACCAAAAATCTTCCAGTTTGTCTCTGTAGAGGGCTTGTTTGAGCCCATGCAGGCAAGGAAACAGTCTATGTGTAGTCTTCTTAGAGCTATCCAAAAAGAGATGGAGGAGCAAATTGAAATTTCCTCATAAGATCAGAAGACCCGCTGTGAACTCCTTCAGCGAATCCAGTGAGGTTTCTAGAAACTGAAGCTGACCTTGATTTTGGAGTCAGAGGTTAGCAAGTGTCACCTGCCTGTTGTTAATTTTCCTGTTGAGAAACAAAGTGCCTGATGACATCCAATAGTTTAGCTTGCAGCTTTCTGTTAAGGAATATGGAGACCTAATATCTCACCCTTTTTGACTTGGCCAGTGGGTTATTGCTATGATAGGAGATTGGATATCTGAATTTATAAAGCCTTGGGTGATTGTCTGATTTAAAGTGGGTTTCCTGTGTGAAGGCTACATGCCCCTTTTAAGCAGTGTGACATAAGGAAAGGGGAAGTCTTCGAGGGGTGATATATTTTGCTTTCTATCCTATGTACAGGACTAGCAGAACCCAGACCAGGTTTTCAGGTAGACTTTGGGTCTGGGAAATCCAGCTCGTGGTTTGTGTCTCTCACTTGGCTTGTTAATTGCTTAATGATTGCTTATCCGGGTGAGATAAAAAGGGGAGGCTGGAGCATGATGCTGCTCTGGCCTTGGACTCGGGCAGCATTCTGAGAGAGCTACAAGTTGGATTTTTTTTTAGTAAAAGGTTGCTGGAAAATACTGTGGTTTTTGTAAGGTGGCTGAGAGAGGCTCACCCCCTGGTAGAGAGGAAACCTGCCTGTTGGAGCCTGGAAGGCAAGGGTTTCTTTTCTGTTTTGTTTTATTTTTATTACAACCTTTTAAATAAAAACTGACCAAGTCAGATTAAAAAAAGGACTAAGTTGCCTGGACTACCTTTTTCCCCAGGGAAGGTGATCCCCATTTGAGCTTTACCCCCACACCAGGTACTCATGTCCTCTGACTATAGGAAATGCTTTTTTACATGACCCATGGTTGATGTGTCCTGCCTAAATAGCAGATATAGTATAATGGTAGAGGGGTGTTATTGCAAGACTGGAACTGACCGCCATCTCCAGGTCTCTCATACATAGTCAGTTAGTGGAATGTAAAAGGATGGGGATAGATTGGGAGAGTCAAGGGAGACCGAAATAAGGAAACAAAAAAAAAGGGTCAGGAGGGGAGAGACAAATAAGGTAGTAGTAGTAGTAGGATGAGGAGGAAGGTAGAACTAGGCAAGAGTGTAAAACGTAGATAGTGTAAAGCGAAGGGGTGTCGCACACCAAAAAGAGCTGGCTTTATCAAGTCTGTTATACCACCTGTGTCCCCTCCTTAAACATGGGTGGAAAACGTAAGTGAGGAATAGTGATGAGCAACCGCTGTGCTGGAAACACTCCATTTAAAGAGGTACAATATTAACATTTTGTGCCAATAGCATTGGGGTCATTAGAAATGGTTGAGTTAGAATCGGGGAGCTTTGTAAGTAAAACTTTAATACTCTGGCAGAACCCGCTGTTCTTAGGCAACACCAGCTATCCCAGGACCCAAGACCCAGGCCTTGTCTCACCGTGGACATGTGTGCTGAAATCCCTTTTTAACCCTGTGAACAATGCCACAAACCCATGATGGAGACTGAAAGCATATAACACCAACATATGGGCAATATCAGAATTGTGATAAACTTTGTATCAAGCATAAGTAACATTATACTGGCACGTTTTCACATCAGTGATGGTGTCTCCCAATATCTCTTGTCCTCTCAAGTCGGGAACCAACTGCAGCTTATTAGTGCCTATCCAGTTACTGAATATTATTTCTTGTTAATATGCATATCGTTGGTGCATATCCAGTTAATATTAATTCTAATGGTTGTTATAGACAGCCCAAATATTACATGCAATGCTTCCAATTCAAGCATCATTCAAAATAATTAGGCTGTCTGTGATCTGCCTAGAGGGCTATAATATCTACCACTGGTTATGGGGGCACTTGTGAATTCTGCGTGTGAAT